TAATTATTAAGCTTAGTTTGGGATAAGTTTCTTCAAAAATAAGACTTGCTATTATGTGTACCTTTTTGTCTGCAGGTCATTATTGCTGTGGTTTGAGCTCAGCATGGCTGTAGTCATCCGTTTACTGGGGCTTCCTTTTGTTGCGGGGCCTGTGGATATTCGTCACTTCTTCACGGGATTGACTATTCCTGATGGAGGAGTGCATATAATTGGAGGGGAAATTGGGGAGGCATTTATTGTTTTTGCAACAGATGAAGATGCAAGACGTGCCATAAGTCGTTCAGGAGGGTTTATCAAGGATTCATCTGTAGAGCTCTTTCTTAGCAGTAAGGCAGAAATGCAGAAGACTATCGAAATGAAAAGAACTGATCGCATAGGAAGAGAGCGACCAGGATTTGGGGCATCAGGGGTTGGCTGCTTATCTAATTTTGTTGAGGGTTTTAAAGAAGAAGCACGTAATTCTGGATATGGCTCTCCGATTAATCAAGATGCTGGGTTTCATACTAATGGTACAGGACATGGAGATATAAGGCCAAGAAAGACACGGCCATTGAAGGCAGAGAATCCTTACTTGTTTCTACGAGGTTTGCCTTACTTAGTAAATGAAGATGATGTACATGTCTTTTTCTCTGGTTTGTGTGTGGATGGAGTAATTTTCTTAAAACATCATGATGGCCGAAATAACGGTGATGCCATAGTGAAATTTGCTTCATGTATTGATGCTTCAGGAGGTCTTAAGTGTCATAGAAGTTTTATGGGTTCAAGATTCATAGAAGTAATGCAGGGCTCAGAACAGCAGTGGATTGAGTTTGGTGGTAGTGCAGTTGAGGGTGACATTCCTATGAGAATTGAAGAACATTCTTCACCGAGAGGAATAAATGATAGACATTTTCGAAAAGTGTCTCATTCAAAATCTCCCAGAAGAACACGTTCTCGCTCCCCTCTCGGATTTTATGTTCACCTAAAAAATCTGTCCCTAAGTATTAACAAAAGAGATTTAAGAAATTTCTTTAGAGATACTGATCTGACTAATGAACAGATTAGGTTTTTATATAAAGATGAAAGAAGAACAAGATATGCCTTTGTGATGTTCAAGACACTGAAAGACTATAACACTGCTCTGGGTTTACATAAGACTGTTTTACAATATCGTCCAGTACTTGTTGATCCAATTTCTAGAAAACAAATGCTGAAGTTCATTGAATGTTATGAAAAGAAAAGACCAGCGTCAATAGAGAAAGAGAGGCTTGGACATAGTTCACAAAAATATTCTCAAGAAGGCTACTCTGGCCAGAAACTGTGCATATATATAAGAAATTTTCCATTTGATGTTACGAAAGTTGAAGTACAAAAGTTCTTTGCAGACGTTTCTCTTGCTGAGGATGACATTTACTTGCTTTATGATGACAAAGGAGTTGGTTTGGGAGAAGCACTGGTGAAATTCAAATCTGAAGAACAGGCCATGAAAGCTGAACGTTTAAACCGTCGAAGATTCTTGGGGACAGAAGTATTGTTAAGACTTATATCTGAGGCACAAATGCAGGAGTTTGGTGTAAATTTTTCCTTGCTGTCCAGTAAGAGAATGCAAGGCCATTCACAGTCATGTGATAGGGATGAGGGTTCCTATTCATTTGGCTCAAATGATCCACCAGTATACACAGTGGGCCTTTCTGAAAACTTCAGGCATCAGCAGGAGGACTTGAGGCAACTGGACAATTTCAAGCATCCCCAGGGGGACTTCCGACAGTCTGATAGGTGCTCTCCAGAAGACTTTAGACATTCCCCAGAGGACTTCAGGTGCTCCCCAGAAGACTTCCGGTGCCCTAGGCCTTCTGAAGACGACTTCAGATGCCCTTGGGAGGAGGACTTCAGGCACTCTAGGGAGGAGGACTGGAGGCTGCCGCCTGAGGAGGATTTCAGGCGGTCTCCCAAGGAGGACTTCAGGCGATCCCTTGAGGAGGACTGGAGGCGGCCCCCCGAGGAGGACTGGAGGCGGCCCCCCGAGGAGGACTGGAGGCGGCCACCTGAGGAGGATTGGAGGCGGCCACCTGAGGAGGATTGGAGACGCCCCCCTGAGGATGACTTCAGACGGCTTCCCCAGGGGGAATGGAGGCGACCACCTAAGGAAGACTTCAGGCGGCCCCCTGGGGAGGATTTTAGGCGACTTCAGGAGGAAGACTTAAGGCAACCTTCTGAAGAAGACTTCAGGCGGCCCCCTGAGGATGACTTCAGGCATTCTCCTGAGGAGGGTTTCAGATGTTCTCCTGAGGAGGACTTCAGGCGGCCGGCCCTGGAGCGCTTCCGGAGGCCACCCCAGGAGCACTTCCGGCAGCCACCCCAGGAGCACTTCCGGCGGCCACCTCAGGAGCATTTCAGACGGCCTCCCCAGGAGCATTTCAGGCGCCCTCTCGAGGAAGGTTTCAGGCGCCCACCTGATGAAGATTTCAGGGGCCCTCCTGATGAGGACTTCAGGAGCCCCCAGGAAGAAGATTTTAGATGCACTTCTGATGAGGACTTCAGGCGGCTCCCAGAGGAAGACCTCAGAGAAGCTCTGGAGGAGGACCCTAGACTTCCTGACGATTTTAGACCTCCTGGTGAGGAGTTTAGAAGCCCACCTGATGATTTTAGAACTCATCGTCCTTTTGTGAATTTTAGTCGCCCAGAAGGTAGCAAGTTTGATTTTGGAAAGCGTAATATGGGAAGTTTTCCTGAGGGGAGATTTATGCCTGATCCAAAATTAAATTGTAGTTCAGGTAGAGTAACACCTATTAAGGTAATGAATCTTCCGTTTAAAGCTAACATTAATGAAATTCTAGACTTTTTCCATGGTTATAGAATCATACCTGATTCAGTTTCGATCCAGTATAATGAGCAAGGATTACCTACAGGGGAAGCCGTTGTTGCTATGATAAACTATAATGAAGCTATGGCTGCTATTAAAGATCTAAATGATAGGCCAGTTGGCCCGCGCAAAGTTAAGTTAATTTTGCTCTAGAGAGTACTTATAAATTCAGTTACCTCCCCACAGTATTGTTGCGGTAAAATGCATTTGTTTGTGTTTATTTTCAATTATCTAACGAAGAGAAACATTTTAAATTTGACCTGTGAATAGAACAAATGTAAATAGTAGAATGTGAATCTAGTTTTCTTTTGCTTGCAAATTGCCGTTTACTTTTTTTAATTTAAAATTATATATGCTTTTTTTTGACATTGGGGGAGAGGATTAATTCCCTGAGTGCATTAATTTTTGTTGATGTCATGGGTAAACCTCAAGACCTGTATAAAGTAGAGCTGTATTGGGGGAAGATAAATTTTATATTCATATTTGTTTGCATTCTGTAGTCAGTCTACAGCTTTTACTCAAAATGTATAAGGAAATGATCAGTAACTGATCAGGTTTAGCATATTCATTGCTAACTGCCTGCAGAATTAATGCCTTCTTTCTTGTCTGAGATATTACTGTATTAAGCCTCCCATTAATTATAAATAGTTTTAAACGAACTGACTGTGAACTTGAAATTTACTTGTGTAAAAAGTTTAGGAGATTCTTAGTTTCCATGTTCATAACTTGCAAAGTTTTATAAAAATAAAACAAATTGCAACTGAATAGACCAACCAATTAACTTTACTTGTATTTGTATAAAAAGAAAAAAATTACAGCTTCTTTTCTGAAGTTTTTCAACAGCTACATTAAACAATATTTATGATATGGGGGACCAAACATTCTATAATACTAGTGTAGAGTGCTAAGTATAGTTCTATGACTTCTTCACCATCTCATCAACCAAACTGATAAGATTAACTCAGAATACTTAAAAGACCAAAAGTAAGAAAGTAATGATAGGTAGAAGGGGACTTTCAGGGTTACACTGGGAATGCCTGATAAGTGGATATAATTTGTGTTTCTAGGAAGAATTTACTGCTATTTTTTATTAGGATCTCATTTTTTAATTTTAAAACTTTGTATCAAAAGAATATAAGACTTGTGAGATTGAATTTGACTTCTTTGATATTCAACATTTTCTAAATATTGGATATGACTCTCTATACCCATATTTAAAGGCTAATAAATTTTGGGCACTTTATTATGTGCTAGGCAGTATAAGCACTTTACATGCATGATCTCAATCGTAATATTTTTTAAGAAGCATACAGTGTTATTTACCTCTATTTCACAAATGAGATAATGAAGTTTAGAGAGGTTAAATAACTTAAAGTCATAGCTAGTAAATCATGGAACCAATTTCAACCCAGACTCACCAGACCCCAGTTCATGCTCTTAACACTTTTGCCTACTGACTTTGTTAAATGGTATTTTTAATTTTAGTAAGACCATGCTAAAAATATTTTCAAGAGTGAACCATATTTTTTTAACTTTCTTTGTTTTAAAAACAGCACTAAAAATATAATTAGTATTCTCAAATGTTAATAAAAGACAAAAGTTTTTAAATATCCAG